ATCCATGGATGTTCTGAAACTTCTCAGGTTTTTCTACTTCCTCCTTTTAACTCTTAATGTTTTATTCTCCCCAGCATTCTTATTTGCTTGTTTATTGTAATTGAGTCTCCTTAGACAAAAATTACAATCCTTTCTAGTTGCTGCGCTCTAAGATGCATGGGCAAATGACTAGGACCTGGCCTGAGATTCAACTGACTGAACAGACTATAAAAAGCAACCAGACATGCAAAATTTCTGAATGTAACAAAAAACACAGTGAAAAGCTGACAAAAGTTTCAGATAGCACTATGAGGAATGGATGGATTTCACAGATGTTAAGGGTGAGAGATGGCTGAACTTCACAGATAATTGGAGGAGGGAGGTATTTGGAACCTTTCTGGGAGTGGAATATTGCAAGACCAGCAGAACTTAGGTACTTGTGTGATGCTGAGATGACCTAGCTAATGATAGCCAAAATAGCAGATTAGGTACAGATGTAGCTAAACTGGGACCAATGGGGAGAAATTTATTTTGGTAAAATATTTGGGAGGAATCAAGGTGGATGCACTGGAAAATGGAGAGAAGGGGAGATAAAAGGCAGCATTTGCTCAAATGAAGCTGCTGGTCAGTGCACTTCTCTGACAGAGCCCTGTGCACCTCATGACAACTGTCTATCATGTCCTAATTAAGGATATGATTTAATATCTCTCAGTGTAATCTCATTCTCTATTCTGTGTGTGAGAGGTCTAAGTGCCAGCAACTGCAGACTTGGCTGCAGATCCTGTGAGGAAATACGTCTCTATGAGAGCAAGTGGAGACACCAGACAGACTTACACCATATCCCAGCAGCTGGAGAACGGGATCACGAGTTATAGGGGTCCCTTGGTCTGGGTGCTAGCACTTGGAGAGACCAGGGTGTGTGTCCGATTCCCTTGTTAATTTCAGGCCTCTGTGTGCCTATGTATGTCTGGATGATTTGCTAATGAACTTCCTTCAAAGCTGGACTGACTGGCTAGTAGGAGGAGATCCACCTCTGGAAATACCCAAGGTTTCAGCCAGTGACTGCGTAAGGGATCTGTCCAGCTGCAGATATTAGGCAGAGCCTGTGCTAATGAGATCCATGAATGTGGTGTGCATGTGAATCTACAGTGTCTGTGTGCGTGTATATGTGTCCCCTCACTAATGAACTTCAATCCTTATGAACTGGAGAGGAGGAAGAGGACTTGGCTGTTGGTATTTCTGTTTATGTGAATCTTGTTGTTCAGTTGTCTCTGTGTTAGTCTGTATGTGTGAACCTCATGAGGTCCAACAAGGCCTCGTGCAGGGGTTGCACTTGGGTCGGGGAAACCCCCGCTATCAGTACAGGCTGATGAAGGGATTGAGAGCAGCCCTGCCAAGAAGGACATAGGGGCACTAGTGGATGTAAAGATGTACATGAGCTGGCAATGTGTGCTTGTAGCCCAGAAGGCCGATCGTATCCTGGGTTGCATCCATGGAATTGTGGCCAGCAGGTCAAGGGAGGTGATTCTGCCCCTCGACTCTGCTCTGGCGAGACCCCCACCTGGAGTACTGTGTCCAGCTCTGGAGCCCTCAGCACAGGAAAGACATGGACCTGTTGGAGCGGGTCCAGAAGAGGGCCACAAAAACAATCAGAGGGATGGAGCAGCTCTCCTATGAGGATAGACTCATCATGTTTTAGTTGGGATGGTGTATATAAGTATTTCTATTCCTTGGTTTATTTTATCACTGAGATTTGGAATCTTGTGGTAAGAGTTTAAAATCTGTTTAAAATGCTGCTGTCAGAGTGTCAAATAATTCCTAATGAAGTGATAATAGTGCAGTTTTCTTGTAGGAGCCACAAAAGCTAATAAATTCACTACAGTGGTCCTTAATATCAAAAAACGAAGCTGGAGTAAAAGACTTGCATGTTATTTAAAGGTTTCTCATAGTGGAGAAGTGCAAATAAATATAGCCATTGGGATATATTTGACTTGTTTTTTTTTCAGGTTTTGACGAGTTAACTTGTTATTGCGGTGAATCTGTGATTTACCCCCCTGTCCCCTGTGGCACTCAACCCCCAGAGTGTAAAAAAACATGCACCAGGCCACATGACTGTGATCATCCAGGTAACTCAGGCCATTCAGTTTTGCTTGGGTTTTTTGGTTTTCTTTAATGAAAATGTAGGAAAGCGTACATAGGTCTGCTTGAAAATATGCTTTTTATTAGATGCCTTTTCAGTTGTTGTGAATATTTCCAAAAGTCTATGCTTAAAAGCCAGCCAGCTAACAACTTGCCATGAATACTAGTAGTGGTACTTCTGACTGGTAAGAGCACTAGATTTTTTTCTAATAATTATTAATAATTACAACACATTAAATGCTATATTCCAAAGATTAAGTGCTCTATTGCAACAGTAGGATAATCTAGTTAACAGTTTCTACGCTCCTTGGAATTACATTGGCTGATGACAAAAATATAGCACAGGTCAAACAGATATGCTTTCTGACAAATTCTGTCTGATAGTATAACCCTGCTCAGAAGTTACAAAATGCTCTGCTGTTTAATTTAGAAAATATGGAAGAATACTAATCTAAAAACCTGCCATCATAATTTTTAGAGTACTTTAAAGAACAGATTATCCTTGCATGAAGCATCATAGTTCCCATAAATTGTGTAGTCCCGAGATGCAAATTCATGTTTAATAGTCTTTACTGTCTCCTTTAATGCATTTGACTGAAGTATGGTAATAAAACTGTGCTGGCTTCTGTATTTCTGTGACTGCAGTGTACCATTCATGTCATAGTGAGGAGAAATGTCCACCCTGTACCTATCTCACTCAGAAGTGGTGTATGGGCAAGCATGAAGTAAGTCTGGACACTTAAGGTTTTGGAATATTAAATGTTCTAGGACTGTAGGCTTAGATTTTTGTGACCTCTTTGGTATGGAATATGTTACTGGAGTTTGACCTTCATGTGATTAAATTTAGAAAAGGATATCTTTTATGCCATATGCATTCAGACCAACTGCTACATTGGGCTGTGACGTAAAGAAAAACTCAGTCTTTGTCCTAAGTTATTTTAGTATTATGATTCTTGCATGGACAGTGCTAACTGAAGGTATGAACAGTAAAAGTACTTTGAGATTTGTATTTATAACTTCTCATTTACAGTTGTCATCTCTTTCCTCCCCTCTTCCAGCTGCGAAGTAATATTCCTTGTCATCTCACTGACATTTCCTGCGGACTTCGCTGCAATCAGATGTTAAAATGTGGAATGCACAAATGTAAAAGAATCTGTCATAAAGGAGAATGTCTTATAGATGAAGAGTGTAAACAGCCATGTACTATCCCAAGGCTATATTGTAATCATCCCTGTATGGCTCCATGTCATCCTTCTTCACCCTGCCCAACAACATCCTGCTGTGCAAAGGTTACATACCCAAAGAAAATTCACAGACGAATTGGATGGTTTAATTATCAGCCAATAACAGTTGTAACAAAAAATGACATGTTTGTGTATTGATAGCTTGACATTTTTTCTGTAAACTTAAAATACTGATTTAAAAAAACAAAACAAAACTATTCCTCGCTTTTAATTAACAATTATTCCACTACAATGTGACTTTTTAAAGGAATAAATTTACCTCCCTCACACCCCTCCATGGCCATAAAAAGGCAAAAGTTTAAAAAAGCTGTTCTCTTTTGTGTTACAACAGGTTGATCTTCAGTGTGAATGTGGAAGAAGAAAGGAGAGTATGATTTGCTCAGAAGCATCTAATACATATCAAAGGTTTGTACTATAGTAATTCTTTTAATTCCTTACTGGGCTTACTTCTTTGCAGTTTGATTGAATTTCAGACTTGACTAAATATATTTAATTCACAAGCTTTTTCTTTTTTTTTTTTGTTTTTTGGTACTTTCACATATGGTTTCTTTTTTGTATTCCCCTGAGCTTTCGTACCAGTTATGCTGTACAAGAACACATTCCTCTTTGCTGCTGTTAGTCTAACTGTAGTAGTGTGCAAAGCTTGAATCTCCTATCCATGGAACTCTGCTCTACTCTCGTAGAGCAATTAGATACAGACTAGTTGGGCAGCTCCAAATTCAGGCTCCTGAATGTAGGTGATTACAGTCCATGCGTGAGTTGCTGTCTGTTTCCCTTAATGTGTGATGGAATGTAGTCAATACAGATGATGGAAGCTAAACAGTGATTTAAAGTCATTCTGAAATAGCTAATTTTAGGCAGAAGAGCTTTGGCATCTAAATCTTGGTTCTTAATATGCAAAACAAGTCCTACCCAAATCCATTTATTGCAATTGATTTGTCTCCAGATCCCATTTCTAAACTGACTTTTCTTTCTGTTGTATGAGCGAGGGCAAGGAATGGACAAGGAAAATAAAAAAAGTAGGGCTTTTCATTTCTTGAAATGAAAATAGCAAAACAGTAGTAATAATAATAATAATAATAAAAATCTTCCTGTGAGGCTGTGATTGAGAGGGAGTAAAAAAATTAATCTGGAGAGTTGATATGCAACCAGAGTTCTTCTCTGTATCCCAGCTGATAGCAGAGCACAGTCACAGATTCTTCCTGTCTTTTAAAGAAAGCTTCCTAATGTTTGTTTTATTTGGAACTGCTATTTGACTGATACCAGCCCATCATAGGATATGTTGCTTTGTTCCTACTGAACAGTGCCCAGATTAAAATTCTGACAGAAGATGGCTTAGCATCTACGTAGTAGGTGCTTAATAGTACCTAATGAAAACAAGGAGAAAAATGTGCTAATTGGCAACAGTTAAGAACAGTTGTAGTCAATACTAAGTTGAATGCAAGATAGACTTACAGGAGTGGTGATAATTTTTTCTTTTTTAGAATAAATTTTTTTTTTCTTGTTAAGATCTATCTCTATGAGTACAAATCAGAAAACTGACTCAACTTTGAAATACCAGTTTAAATTGATACATGCTTTTCATTACCTTCCAGCTTATCATTAATGTAATTACAAGTCCAAAGTTTTAGAAGGCTGTTTCTATAGCTCAGGCACTGTTTCTCCACTGTTTCTATAGCTCAGGCACTGCAAAAGTAATCATTCAAGGAAAATGGTTCTTTGAAGTCAGTGAGAGTCCTTGCATGCATAAGCTAAATGTGTATTTATCTAATCGGAGACCAAGTCAAGAGGAAGGGAAAGAAACAATCAGTTTAAAGCAAGTGTTTGTATCTGTTCATTCAAATGTGTTCATGTTTGTTTACAAATTACTCTTGGCCCTTGTGATATTAACAAAAGCATTATTTAATGCTACCTAAGTTTGTATAACTCAAACTGTTTAGGTTGCTGAAAAAATAAATAGTGTTCTGATTTTGTAGGAGTTAGGTTCAGCTTTTTCCCACCATCTGTACACTTGGGAAAGAAAAAAAAACCAACCAACCAAAAAAAAAGCCAAAACCCCAAATACAACAAAGTAACTCTTGTAATACTGCTGTGGAAAGGTCAGCAAGTTAATGGGGTATCCAAGTTTTCTCAAAAATGTTTGAGGAGTGATAAAACAGCTCAGAGCTTTGTCAGTGAATGCTGGTGAAAGATTGCCCAAGGGAACAGGAAAGGGCATGTGCTACTGTATCTGTACACATGATACAAATTATGATGTCATATCTTCCAATGGCCCATTACCTAGACTTTGTCACCACCTGATAAATATGAAGCTGATGGTGCCTCTCTGTGCTTTTTCTTTTTTTGTAATATGTTTATCCTCTTTCCTGATAGATAATCAGTTGTCTATGTGATGCAAAACATAGAGATAAACATATCCTTTTATCTGAATTTAACAGAAAATATGGTTCAGAGGATAGAATGTTCCATTTTCAGGGTTTTGTTTGAGAACAGCATGCGTTATTTCACTGAAAACTTGCTATATATTTTAGTTACAGAAATTTTAGCAAGAAGATCAAACTAGAGAGGCTTGTTATTGAAAGAAAAGTCTAACAGTCTCAGTAGGCTTTTTTTGTTCTTTCCTTATGACTTGTATCATCCATATTTTCTAAGCAAATTTCTAAGTACTTTATAAATTCACTTTACAGGTTTCAGTTGCACACAGTTCAGGAAGGATCACATAAAAATTAAAAAGGCAATTAAAGCTATATGGTCAGCTGTAGTTTGAATATTAAGCAGGTGAGAAGAAAAAGTAATCACATTGCCTAGTTTAGACTTGCTTAGAATTGATGCTCTGAAAAATTCCCTGAAGAAGTGTGTCCATTTGTTAGTCTTGCTCCTAGTTGCTTGAGGTAGATGAGAGAGAGTAACTTCCTTAATTTACATGGCTAGATTAGACTCCTGGAACTAGGTGATGTGGAACTAGAGTCCCATTCTGTAATCTGATGAGGAAATGGTCAGTCTGTCTTACTTCTTCCACCTGGAGATCTAAATCTGCAGCTTCGTACACCTTTTCAAAGGTTTATGTGTTTCCTTAAATGAAATCTAATGCTCTTCTTTTTCAGAATAGCTGCTATATCTATAGCCACTAAGTTAACAGATCTACAGCTTGGGGATTCAGTGGAAATCAGTAGGCTTATTACAAAAAAAGAAATGAAGCAGGCCAGGTAAGGAGATACATGTAGAAACATATTTTGTACTCTTGTGTGTACCTGAAACATGGGCGACATGGAAAATGCATATCATGAGCAAAATCCCAGCTAAAAGAGGAAGACTTTAAATAGCCTGACTCTACTGTAACAATACTGCTAAAAGAGTATTTTGCAGTTCCTTAGCAGTTCATGCTTTTGCCTTCATGTAGAATAAGTTCTCTATCATTGGCTGGTTTGTTGTTATAACAATATAATTGTGGTTTCAGAGTTTCTTTCTACCCAGCAAACTCCTTCAGAGTTCCTCTGGATTATTTCAGATTTCTAGACAGTATAACTTTTTGCTATTATCCTGTTTCAGCGTCCAGCATTCGTTCCTGGATGATTAATAGGGCATATTTTTCCCCTAGTTGTCATCTTACTATTTACAATATTTTTGTATTACTCTTTTTAGATTTCTTACATTTCTGTCTCAGTTTGATTGGCTCTTCTGTCTTCTCATTCTGGCTGGCACTGCAAATCTGCTTTTAATTCACAAAAAGACTTGGGACTTAAGTTTGATTGCCTGTTCCTCCTGATGTTCCTCAGGATTGGAATAGCTTGTCTTTTTACTTTCAGTATTATTTCTATAAGGAATTGTCAAGTTTCTACAATATTCTTCTGTCAGAAACTTGACTTCCTGAAGTCTTTGCCCTTCAAGTCCCTAATTTCTGCTTTTATTTTATTTTCTGTTACCATCTCTCCTACGTTAATTGTGAATCTGATTATTTCAGAGTCAGTCTGTTATGTGTATTAAAATCTAATCTTCCTTTATATTGTGTAAAGTCAAAATAGTGAAATTTCACACACAGTTGCTTCATGACTTCCTATATCACAGCATACTGGAAGACCTTGTGCTGGTCATTCTGTTCTGTTTATTTGTTTGTCTCAAACTGGAGCACATAATTACCAAGTCCTTCTGGATAGTTTTCTACACTGAAATAATTCTAACTCTATACAAGATGAACTAACACCAGAAAAGACATATGGGAGCACCTGCTCATCCCAGTCTTCAGCTTTGTTCTAGTTGGGCCAGTGTCATACTTCAGAAGAAAATGGGGGGAAAACACAAGGTGAAAGAGAGAGCCGTACCGATTCCTGCATGCAACTTTAAGAGCGTGGTATTAGTACTGTATAAGCATGGTATAAGAAAGACAACAAATAGGAAACAATAATTGAGTGGTCTTTTAGCCTACTCTGTTTCAGTTAATTGAATACTCAAAAATGTACAATATAAGCATTAATTTTTGTCTCTAGAATTACTGTAGAATAATCTCTGCTTTACCCAGATAGAGCCTCAACTACTTCATTCCTATTTGCATCAAAGTGCCAACCAGATACAAATATACTCAACAATATGAAGCCAACTTCAGCTTCTAAAAAAAAAAGTCACTCTTTAAAGAAAGCAACCATTTGGCAGTGCTATAACTTGGAGGGGGAAGATGAGGGTGTGGGGTGGTAGAAGAAGCAGGGATGAATTTTTCAGCTACTGAAGCTGCAAGTCTGTCATAACAGCTGTATACTTGCCAGGAGAGCAAATCAGACACCACTGTGTCTGTTGGTGTCCCAGCCTTTGTAGTGATATAAATGGTCTTGTAGTTGCTGCCGCACATCTTTCTGTGTGGACAGACTTTGGGTACTGTGTGGACTGTGTGCCCTTTCCCTGAATAGTTGAAATTACCAGATTACTTTTCTTTGTGTAAATCTTTCCTAATATGATATCTGCACTGTGGCAGGTAGCCTTTATTCAAAGAGCCAGAGGAAGTATTCTCCCTTCCCTACTCTTCTCATCTACCAAATACCAGGGCAGGGCGGGAAAGAGATGGTGGCACATAAAATATTTATTATTAAATTTCTAGTTAATTGTCAAAGTAACTTACAAATCTGCTTTGTTCATTTACAATAGCAGAATATTTTATGCAAACTGCAGAGAATTCATTTCTTTGTTTCTCTGGTCCTGCCTGTAGACATGTTATACTTTAGTTTGGTTTCCTTATTAGGGCTCGGGGTGTTTTTTTGTGACAAATTTGGTCAGTCCTAGAGTAGCTTCTCTAAATTGGCTACATTCCTCTTTTAGAGCAGGAGAAAATGATTCTTCAAGCAAATGAATTTAAACAGTACCAGGTTGATCTTGGAGTGCAAGTATGTTATCTTTCTTCTGCCTCCTTTGAGGAAAAGCACCAAAAGTTCTGGATCCTGTAGCTCTGTGTCTCCAAACATAATACATGTCACTGAATGAACCAGTTTCCCCTGGAGAAATTAATTGTTTGAAATAAGGGAACTATTATCAACAGAATCAATTTACTTAAGCAGTCTAAAGGGCAGAATTTTGTAACTGCCACCCTGAAATTCTGGAGAACTCTTGATCCTTCTCTGACGTTTTAATCCCTTAAAATTATAAAATACCTTTCAAAGATGAGACAGAAAAATTAAATTCATAACTCTACTGACACTAGAAGTTGTGGGTTCAGTTGAAATACTGATTTTTTTTTTTTTTATGGTGAATCATAATCCTCCATATGCATAGCGAACTTTCCTGTTTTCCCTGACTGATAATTTTTTCTGATGTGACCTTGTCACATCTTCCTTTGCAAATTTCCTATCCTTCCTAGCATCCCCTCAATGCTGATATCAGTTGCATTTTTTTCTCAAATGATCTAATTTACCAATATAATAAAACCTAATTCAGAAGCTGTTTTTTTTTCTCAGCTTCTGTTCAGGACCTGGAGAAGGGCTCATGTGCTCAAACATCTTGGTTGGTTGGTTGTAGCTGCATTATCTGATCTAATACAATAAACTGTTCTCACACTTAAACTCTCCTTATTTCTTTAGGCTGTGATAACAATATGACACCAACAAAGCTACAATTTGAAAAGTATGAGTAACAGCAGTGATTCTAATTGTATTTTTCTTTCATAATTCAGGTTGCAATGTGATGAAGAATGCTTAGCTCTTCAGAGGAACAGGTGGGCAATGAATTCGCTTGCTTTTTTCAGAAGAAGTCTAGGTTCGGAAAGTTAATGCTATGTGGGAAAAAAGCCCTGCATGACCTAGAGAACTGATAAATGTGGAGATGATTCCTGTGTTACAGGGATCTGTATTGAGTGAACTGAGATCTCACTGGAATATTCTAGTGAAAACTCCTAAATGAGTAGTTTCAAATGTACAGACTATCTTTTGCAAGCTGTTCATCTGTATTAGTAACCCTTATCTTTACTCTTCAATGACAACATGCTTGGGAGGCTGACAGGATTTGTATGTTTGTTTTTGTTTGGTTGTGTTTTTGTTATGTTTTGGTTTTTCCCTTCCTACCCTCAAATTTAGGCGTCTTGCTGAGGCTCTCGAAATAGATGATAATTCTGATCCTTTTAACATCCGTTCTTCTGGACCAAAGTACAGCGACCTTTTAAAAGAAGATGCAAGGTATGTGTTCTAATGATGACGGGTGTCACAGGTAAACAGTGTTGAGAGCAAGATGTGAAATGCGGGATAGTTCCATTTACTCTAAAAATGCCCATGTTTATTTTTCTCTATAGCCTTGGCAATAGGTGATAATTGAGGCAAAGGTGGTGATGTGCACTTCTCAAGACCTCCAGAATGAGAACCTGAGAAGTAAAAAGTTTCTGATGGGTTGCTTTGTTCTGTAACAGGACCAGGTTTAGAATGGGAACATCATTTTCCACCATTCTTCTCACTATGAATTAGTACCTGTACTTCTTGCATCTCCACTGCTTTCATACACAACCAACCCCCATCTCGGTGCTTGTTGTAAACTTTTCAAGACAAAGACAAAATTGATAGCTAAGTAATGAAATATGCTTATTAGCCTGACATTATTTCCCTCCACCAGCCTCATTTATTTTTTTACCTTACTGCCTTTATTTTAAAAATGAAGAAACAGAATTAATAAAACACTTGATTGATGCAGAACTAAGCCTATGCCAGTGTTGACTGCAGAGAGAGCTGCTAGACTGAAACATCTGATAATGAGACAATAGAAAGTCAAGGTAATATCAAAGGTATGACAGTAATAAGTACTACGCAATCTAGAATGACAGGAAGGGATCAGACACACTTTTAAAAAAATCCTTAAATGATAGGTGCCATCTAAGAAGTTTTTACTCTTGTGTGTGTGTTTGTAGGCATGGCATTAATTTTTACAAGCTCTAAGTCTTTTAGTATAGCTGAATCTGTTTTGCTCTTGCTTCGTTATCTTAACGATACATAAATTTCATATTTTTGTGAGGATGCTTTCTACTTGAAAATCCTTCGTTTAAGTTGGTGATGTGTTGAGACAAATAAAAATTTTACATAAATAGCCATACAGAATTTAAGAGTAAATCACCTCTTGCTTTACTCCCAACTGATTAGCTTACTGTAAGATAAGAGGTGAATGCTTTCATTGTGAAGGTAGTGTTTTCTTAGTATTTGCACTTAAAAATGGTATTTTAAAAGAACTATTTTCTTAAGCATATATAGAATATGTTTTGCTCTACCTGCTTCAGAAAACAAAGCACACATTGTCACTTCCTTACTATGTTGAATATCTTGTGTGTGTAGTCCCCTCCCTTTTTTTGGAGTACAATCCAGTCTCACCTTCCTATCAGCCATTTTCTTTCCATAGTGCATTGTTCATCTTTCATGAACAGAACTGACCAGAATCATGCCTTGTGTTCCAGATAGTCTGACAGATACCTTGAAAAGTAGCCTTAATGCTTCCACACTTCTCTATGAGAATATCTCTTCTCAGTCATTCTGCGATTATACTTGCATTTCCTTTGTAGCCACTTTATATTGGTAACTCACGATAAACTAATATACCCAGGCTATCCTTACTGATTCACAGCTTAAAGCAAAAGTTTTTGTTAGTCTTCAGGTGAATGACTTTGCATATTGAATTACTGGATTTCATATATCTAGTCTTCAAGATAAATTATTTTCTCCTTCTATCTTGCTTTACATGAGCAGCAATCTTCAATTTGTAAAGCTTTGGCTTTATGAACTTACTTCCTTGACTGCTCTTGATCTTTTCTTTTATCTCAGCAGTCTTGCAAAAGATCTGGGTTTCCCTCATGGCAGCAGCATCTGCAAAGTGTATCTATTACAGTATTTTTTCAGGTAGCTCAGCATTTTTTCTAAGTTTTGAAAGATGCGTTTATTCTTGCTTGAGCAGGTCACTCCAGTAATGCAAGAGTTCAGGGCTTTTGGCTTTCTGCAGAGTGTAAGTTATACAGCTATGTATGGGATCTCAGAATAATGAGAAATACGACAGCTGCCTTCCTGTGCATTCAGGGTCGCTGCCTCAAGAAGGTGGCTGTTGCCAAAACTATGAGTAGAATGCTGTGATATTATCTTGTTTAGGTGATCCATTGATCTGTGAAGCTGTTACATTGTCAAGAGCTGAAAAAAATGCACATCTACAAATGAGAACTCGAGAGAGCTGAGAGAAGACTGATTTTGAGCTGTAATCTTTAATTACAGAACCCTAAACCTCCAAGTACAACTCCAGGTAACAAGAAGATGAGTAAGTGGAAGCATGCAAAGATAATATGTCATCTTTGTAGGAGAATGGCAGGAGAAGGGAGCACCAGGAATAGCATGGTAACGCTGCTGCATGCTGATCTTGCTGATGTGTTTGTCAGAATCTGACAAGGAGAGAGGAAAAAAGTCTCTACATGATACAGCTTTACAATGAGGAGATACTCTGCTGCCAAGGGGGATCCGTCTTCTAGCACGGAGATGACTGCCAGCACAACTGAGCACAGATCAGGGGGTACAGATTCACTGGATGGACACTTCAGCACTGACCTTTCTAAGAGGCTCCAGAAATAGACACAGAGAGCAAACAAATGCTCAAGTTGGCCCATTGACACGAAGTTGGAGGGTAGACTGGCACAGGTATCGATGCCCAGTTTGACAAGGATGGTGCTAGGGCTGCTGTTTGAATTAAGACTACTGGGAAAGAAGAGGAGGCCATATGGAGCTACACAGAAGAGCATTTTCTTATTTTGTCACTGGCTGTGCAAGACCTCATAGCAGCTGTATGGACCAGGGAAATCTTGGAACAAATAGCTAAGTCTAGAGAGACACAGAGGGAGATGAGTCCTTCATAAGCATCTTCTTAGCCGGTCACCTGTGTGTGATCTGGCAACAGGGGCAGTGTACAGGTTTAGGGGTAGGAACTGAAGCCTGAATGAAGGGTAAGTGAGGGCAGCTTCTGAAGTACATGACAGGCAAACTGCAAGCCGTCAGTCACTCAGAGGCAAAATCTTGCACTGGCAAGAGTTGAAAGAAAAGAAGGTTTTTGGCAAGGGCAGCAAAATCTGAGGAAAGCAAAAAATATACAGCAAGAACTACAGTGAAAAACCAAGCAATGAGGAACATTCTTATTAAGTGGTGTGGTTGAGAGGAACTGAAATGGCAGTAGGCGTGCTTCTGCTTACATGCAATGCGAGGAGGTGAGGAGAAGCCTCATGTGCACTAGCCACTGCACAGAAAGAGATTTTCAAGTCCCACATTGCAGAATTTCAGTATATCCACTGTCAGATCAGATGTGTTTATTCTAAGAACTGCTTAATTTCCTTACTGTACATTATTTTTCATTAAGTGTCTATTGCAGGTTAGAACATTGGAGCTCGCAATGAGCAGTTAGATGGTTGTTTGGCCATAACCAGTCATAAATAGCTTAATTGACAGAATCATGTGCAAATCAAGATTTCTGTGCTAGTAAGCAATAACAATATTCCTTTTAAGATAAAACAACAGCAAAATAACACTTGGCAAAACTTGGAGAACTTATTGTGAGAGGTCGGACACGTAACTTAAAAGAATAAAAAATACTTGAGAAAATACTTCAGTCAGGTAATAGATACTCATCAATATCCTGGGAAATGGAGACACTTCATTTGGTTTTAATAGGGCAGTATGAATTGTACATTGATTGATTTGCAAATATACATGTGAATTCCAGCTCAGGATGACCGCAAATGAAATTCCCCAAACAGGATCTGAGCAAGCTGATGAGTCATCAAAACAATCAACCTAAAAATGCAAGACTAGAAAACAAGACAAGTACAGGTGAGAAATAAGCAGTATCTGGTTCCTACTGTCCCTGCTTATGCAAGTATCTGATCAGGATCATACAGAGAAGACTACTGAACTTGCAGGACTTTTTTTTTTTTTTTTTCATCTTATGAAATGATTTATAACAGACTTCATTTTCTTCCTCATCTTAATGGAGAGTTTCTGTTACAACAGTTGACCTTGCCAATGTTTCTTGGCAACTGCAGGCTTCTTTTTGCCCTTCAGTGAAGTGTGGGCTCACGCTTCTGTGTAGCTAGGAATAAAGAGTATACTTCCTTGCATGTTGATCTGCCACTCCCCTCTTCTTTTGTCATGGCAGTCTACTAAGGTTTGCTCCCAAATTTGAAAAGGAAAGAATGCACACTGTTGCAAAGAGACTTTAATTCTTTAGTGTTCCATCTGATGATCTCAAAGGGAAGTTTGATACTGTAAAGAAAAATCTTACTTATGCTTTGTCAGCCCAGGCAGAGGGGTAAACAGCCTGAAGTACTATTCTTCACTCTTAACATCCAGATACAGAAGATGCATCTTCCTGTTGGATTGCCTCAGCTGTTCACTGATGCAATTCTCTAGGGCAATCTAGATGTTTGTTGAGGCTACCTCTTTCAAAGGAAGTTTTCAGATTAAGGAATACTGAAGTCCACCATTTCCTTGAAGATTCCTCAAACCAAATTATCTCAGAATCTTCCAAATTCCAAATAAAAAGCAATTGTTCTGTCTCTCCCACCATCTGCCCTTTGTTATTTCCGTCTGAACAGTCTGTAGGTTGGGGCTCACTCAGATCATCAAGTGCCTCAGGGTTGTTCTTCCATAAGAAAGATTCTGGAGATAGAAGGTGCACATAAAATACTTGCCGTGCCTTGTGACTACCCATATGTGTGTTCAAACTCTGCCATTGTGTAGTATGTTACAAGCAAAAGAGAGTAAGGTCCTGCTTCTACTCCTTAGAGAGTCATTGGAACTAGGGATGTTAGGCATTGCCTATTAAATTAGTTTCTGTACAGTTCATCTACTCCAACCCATCTCACCTTTTCCTACGGGGAAATAACATTCTGTTAATCAGTTGATTTCTGCTGCCTCCACCACCACCCTGGCCCTGTCTCCAGCATAGTATGCACAGGTGTAATACCTACTTTGTGAATGATGTAAGAATTTCCTCAGTCAAGTGCCTACCAAAGTGGTGTTGTGTTGGTATGGAATGATGTCTGGTTTTGAAGAAATAAGTTATTTGCTACTAACCAGCTTTGAGGTATGAAATCTTCAAGTAGTCTTTTTCCCTGTGGGGATGGTGCCCTAACAAATAACAACCTTCCTTTTGGTGTTAGTTTACCCACTTACTTAAGAACAGAGCGCAAAGCTCACCCTTAGGTGAAAGACTTGTCCTACTGTGATTAAGCAACGTAAGGATTTAAAAAAAAAAAAAAAAATTAATATCTCATATCAAGCGCATTTTGTTTGCTTGCAAGTAGCCTTATGCTGCTTCTTTTGTTCTTACTAATTTATTATACTAGATGACTTGAAGATCAAAGTCAGGGCACTCTTCCTCTGTTTTGGAAGAGAACTCCACTGTGTTTACCTAATCCCCAGAACATGATTAGACACTTTTGTGTCTAGTCATATATTCTAATTAAGTGAATTGCCTTAATGACAAATAATTTAAAAACACTGAAATGGCAACTTTAAAATCTACATTATCCATTTGAAAATGCAGAATTGTATTGTCAGAGAGTAGAGCAGAGTTGTATCATTGAATTTTATGCTGGGTTCCAAGGGTTGAAAGGAAAAGAAGTCATTATTTTTATAATAGTGATGATATACTAACATTTTTTAAAATGTAAATAGCATAATATATAAATCAGAATTTGGTCTCACCGCTGCTTCTGCTTCAGTCAATCGTGGTTTTTTTAATTTTGTTCTTGTGGAAAATAATGTTATAAAAGATGAAGATACTGTATCTTTGTACACTCTCTTGCCTCATTTACCTAGAATGCTGTTCTTGCAGGAAGGATTTAAAATTTGTCAGTGACATTGAGAAGGAAATGAGAATGCTTGTGGAAGCTGTGAATAAGGTCAGTATCCAGATATTCTGTATGACTTATAATAAACAGTTTTGTTTTGTTTGGGGCAGTTTGATGTTACTAAACTTTATTAATACTAATAGTTATGAGCTGGCGCTAGATCTATTTGGGCTTCAATAGAGTGCACATTTTAATTATGAATAGAACAAAATTTTTAGGAGACGTAGTAGTTCAGGATCACTTTGGTGACAGCCAAGCTTTGTTTAAAGATTCAACCAGTGCTAGGCTTTAATGCATCGATGGATTATCATTAATTTTTGGATGTCCATTAATAAAGTATTAATCATCAAAGATGGTGTTTAAAGGTTCTGACTTTGAGAAAGGTTTTTCTGATCCCTGTAGTGGAACTTGCTCACAGATTTGTGGATGCTTTCCTGCATTTGCCAGTGTGTGAGGTAGTCCTCCTTCTATAAGGAGACCCTGATGCAGCCACAGTTGTTTGTCAGACTCCAGTATACCTAGAGAAGTTGATACTACAGACACAATCACAGTTTTTTCAGTGAAAGCAGAATTCTGCCTTCAGGCTTGTCAGGTTAGCATATTCCTGGCTTGCTGCTGCACTGTGCCTGACCCAGTATATGTGGTTCAAAGGGCAGTGTAAACCATGCTATTCTCAGTTGCCCTTAGCTCAAGAAACAGTTAACCTGCTGTAGAAAGCATTAATTTCCTTCCCTCTACCCCTAAGCACAGTTACTTAACTTTATTCCTTCTTTTCTATGTATGACGTTTCTTCAACAGTCTTTGTGCTTGTTGACCTGTCTAATGGTTTTACGCTTTGCCGTGAAAGTCTAGAGGGGGGCCATCTGTGTCTAATTATGTTCAGGCCCCTCCAACCTCAAACACATGGTAATAGATGCATAGAACAGTTGTTATCACCTAAAAATAATTTGCCCGATGTTGCCTGTGGTTATCCTGTTTTACATATACCTTTATATACTGGCTTTATCATACACACATATGTACACAAGTGTGTGCACCCATATATATTTCTATATATATGATAACTGCGTATACCAATGTATATGCCTATACTAATATCAAACCAAGATAGGTAATATGTATTAAAAAAGGGGGCAACCACAGGTCTTGAATTTGCAACATACAATGAATTAGTGACATGAAATATGACAGAACAGGAGAACTAGAGAGCTCAAGAGCATCTCCAATGCTTTAGTTCTCAGCAGTAACCAATTGTTTGTTAAATAATGATCCTACAAAGCAGACAAATGGTGTCTGTTAAAGAGCATCCACATTGCAGAAGAGAATGAAAAAATGAAAACAAACCAGATGTGACAATCTTTTCCCTGTCTGACCTAAAGGGAGAATTACCCGGTGGTTACTTAAGCTTTTGTCATATCAAGATGAAACAGTTAGGCCCATGTGACAGTTCAGCATCTCAAGGATCAGTTCTGCACCATACTGCCTCTCAGGCTGTTGGGAATTGCTATTCCATAAGGTACAAGTCATCCCCAGAAGTCAAATTATATTTCAAAGGGGAAGAGATTTCTTTCTGAACACTGAAGGCAAGTGACACAAACTTTGAAGCTTGGTATGCATATATTATAATACAAATGCAAATAAGAAATCATTCTTCTTTCATGATGTCTTCAGTAGGCAAACCCAACAGTTACTTGAGGAGTTCCATGACAATCTCAATATTCTGTCCCCAAAAACTCTCTATGTAGTTACCTATTAACTTTCACAAGGCTGTCAAATTCCTTCTTGAAACATTTAGATTCCTGATTACCGGTTTTCTGTTTAGATGCCCATTCTAGATCTGCATTATTCACACTGCTTACAAACTTCTTGTGCTTCTTTCTGCATGTGAGCCCATTTGGTAGCAGTAGATTGACTTGTGTCCTGCTACATGAGTTGTTTCACAGAATTGTAGAATGTTTGAGTTTGGAAGGGTCCTCTGGAGGTCATCATACACAACCCCCCTGCTCAAGCAGGGCTATCTAGCATCTAGAGCCAGTTGTCCAGAACCATGTCGAGACAGCTTTTGATTATCTCCAAGGATGGAGAGGCCGCAACCTGTGCTCAGTTGCCCTCACAGTAAAAAAAAGTGTTTCCTGATATTCAGAGTTTCAGTTTGTGCCCATTGCCTCTTGTCCTGTCACTGGGCACCGCTGAAAAGAGGCCAGCTCTGTCCTCTTTGTCCCCTCCCTTCAGGTATTTCTACATATTGATGAGATCCCCCTGAGCCTTCTCTTCTCCACACTGAACAGTCCCATTTCTCTCAGCCGTTCCTCAATGGAGAGATGCTCCAATCCCTTCATCGTCTTTGTGGCCTTTCACTGGTCCTCCAGTATGTCCATGTCTCTCTTGTACTGGGGAGCCCAGACCTGGAGACAGTACTCCTGGTGTGGCCTCACCAGTGCTGGGTAGAGGGGAAGGATCACCTCCCTCAGCCTGCTGGCAATACTTTGCCTAATGCAGACCA